AGTTTCGATACGCAGCACATCCCGCGCCATGAGGACGTACAGTAAACACCGTCTCCGTAATCCCCGTCGTCTTGACCCTCGATCGCAGAATATCTTGGTCCGTCGGGACGTAATCTGGGGCTGATAAGCGGTCGATACTGCCCAGATAATACTCGGCGCTGTCCAAGAGCTGGAACTCGCGCGACCGGAGGACGGCTTGTTTCACGGCGGGGTCTGGCATTCATAAATAAACATGAGAGTGGAAGATTGCGTTGTCGTTGTCAACGCACCGGCCCATAGTGCTTTGAACGCCTGAGCCAACTCGCGCGGCATCACATCCGCCTCGAGCACCGTAGGGAACGCAAACACCGTCGTCTTATGTTCCTCACTCGACGGGAGTAGAGTCAGTTTGAGGTCCGGTAGCGCATCGAGTATCGCCCTGGTCCGCTCATTCAGTCATCATCCAATCCAGACAAAGGAAGACAAACTCACCGCATACCCTGCATCGTATTCGAAAACACAATCTCCCTATAGGCCTCTTTCTCCGCCGCGTTGTACCCATTCAGGTGGATCAGTCTGAACTGCTTCAGGACTGTGGATTTGCCAGAGTCGCCCGCGCCTAATAACAGCATCTACCGTGCCGCCAAGTAAGTAAGTATGTGTGTGTCATCGGTGTTATGCATTGCTGGACCCACGCACTTTAATTTCATGCCGCATCTGGGCCCTATCTCGCTTGAGCGTCGCCTCGATGGCATCGTTACCTGGAACAAAGATTCAGAACGGATAAAAGAAAAAGAAAGCAAAGACTCGAAGCGAGCTGAGCGAGTGAGATCAAACCGGGGGACGTACGGGCTTTAGCCTCTGCCTCGCCCGCAGGCAGGCTGTTGATACAACCCATTCTCTCGTCGTACGTCGTGGCCGTGGCGGGCACCAAGGAAGCCGGGGCGGGGAGGTGACGCAGGCGGAGAGAGAGACGTGAACGGGGACGGTGAGCAAAGAGTGGATGGGAAAAAGAAGCGTCTCTCGTGGCAGAATGTGCGAGCCCGCCAGCTGAATGTGGAATGTGTTTTGATATGAATCGCTACGCATCTGTCTCCGTCGTCCTTCGTCGTACTCGTCGCAAGGAGAGGGTGACATTTGTGGACATTCTGGAAGCCTGTTCCGACAATCGTAGTATCTGGGTGCCAGGAGTAACGTCATCGATTGGAATTATGTGGGCAGGGAAAGACAGTCGGCCCCCTCGAACTTCGGAAGGACCATTGAATTAATAGATGCATGTTCCGATGTGCGAATATCAGGAGCAGGTTACAACTATCAATGTTTGGGGAGATCGGCTCCAAAGCATGTGGAGACTAGCCAACGCCAACGAAAGCGACAGGATTCGCTGCCTGACCTGTATTCATATCCGTGGACTGATCAGCCAAGTGCGTGTTGACCACTCACTACTTAAAACGAAGGCAGAATAAAGACGAAGTGTAGGTCGGATGCGATTGACTTCACGCACAAAGAAATCCCCATTCGGTGACGAGCAGAAAATATGTGGCTTGGGACAAGCTTGGGAGATGTGTGCTGTGAGGAGCTTCAAGGTCGGACGACGCGGCCAGAAATGTCCTTACCACAGAACAGGAGCACAGCAGTGACCAGTAGCCTGTTCTTTTGAGAATCGTAAACCTTGCGTAAATCTGCAAAGACCCGGCGGCCGTCGACATGCTGATCGGGAGTCGTCTTGGAGTCGTCAAGCAGAGGTCCTTCGACGATGTAGCTACGCGGTAGGTCTCTGAGTATCCGATGTGGGACGGTGGGCGCCGTTGCCACTGGCCATGGGAGAAAAAAGCTTGAAAGACACGTGATATTGACGTGTACAGCACTGATTCAGTCGGCCCATCAATGATGTCAGTCGGCCCATCATTCATGCATCTCGGCAATGCCATGCATTTGTTGGTCCGGACTCCCTCGGTACACTGTTCCCTTGGCTCGGCTAATGTCGGCCATCAGCCATTTCAGAGCCAACCGTGCGGTCAAATTACGCCGATCAATCATCAAACGCCTTTTGTTCCTGACTCTCATCCTACCCGCCATGCATCAGGCACGTCCAGCCTGTCCCACCACTGAAGTACCGCTCATATCACTCAGCCATACGAAGAGACTCTCCAGCAACGTCTGCCACCGGAGCTGGAGCGACCTATCTTTGAAATTGAGCTGGCTGCGTATTCCGATCCGCTACGTGTGCCTACCCTTATGCTGGTGGCTTGGCGAGTCAAAGAATGGTTGGTCCTCCAACTACTTATTTCCCTTCTTCGATTGATTTATTCACGAGCGCAATTCGTAGGGCGGAGCCGTTCCGCTACCGAGTGATTCTCTTCACTCGTACCACCGCGGGGCTGAACAGAGTGACTCAATATCCACACGACGATGACCGCTTCTTTTCGCGTCTTCTCAAACAATCGTCACTCCTCCGTGCATCGGTGCGGCATCTGTGCCTCAATCAGGTCCATCGATACAATACCAATGCCCTCCTCTCCGCGTGCTCCTCCGTGGAGAATCTGCCGCCCTATTCGACCCACTCCCCATCGACTTTTCGCATCCCGTATTCTCGCGCCTCACCCACCTCGAGATATTCGACATGGTATAATAATGGACGACGAGGAAGACCTCACCATCTGGACGGGCCTCGCAAGTCGTATCCCTCCCGCATCTCACTCACCTCGCATTCAACGATCCAGAGTTCCTGCTGATATTCTCGGACCTACTTCCCTGCAGATTCTTGCGCTGGTTCGGCTTAGCGGGGTTGAAGCGGAAGCACCCCGGGGCTGGGGCTGGGGCTGGAACCCCGGTTTGTGTGGTTTCACTGCTTACGATACATCGAGGATTGGCATCGGTGTGGATTTTTGGGCTAGAGCTGAGGATTTGGTTAGAACTTGGCGGAGGTTGCGTTGTGCGTCTTTGTGTTTTTGGCTTCCGTTGCTATGGCTTACTTTGTTCAGTTCTTACTCAGAGACGATGAAATGACCGCTGTATTTCCCTGGCTGCTGCGCCGAGCTCTTGTGATGCATTTCATCCGTCATTCGTGGAAGGGGATCATACCTGGCTTTCCACCCTCATTCTGTGTCCGAGTCTGCGAGTCACGAGTTATCCAGATCCATTCAACGTTCTTCCCGATTCTAACAGAATCCCGATGCAGTGACCGATCTTCCTCGGTTTTGAGCTCAGTCGTCAAACTTTGGTGGGTGCCCGTTCGACTCGGGCACTCGGCCCATAGGGTCGTCACATCTGAATCAATTTTTATTTCTGTACTTACTCATGCCCACGTGCGCGTTTTAAAAAAACGGAACGTATGCGACGAGGATATGCCTTCCTCTTGAAAAAATGGTTCGTATTATGACCATTTCTCGTTTCGAATTTGGCTGACTAGATACACTGTTGTTTTTCCAGGCGCATCCCGCCATTCAACCACCGCGAATGCAGATCCCGTCTGATATCATCAGGGACCATCAGACATGTGCAGCGTGGCTTTTGCTTCAAACTCCCACCATCCATCCCTGATGACCAGCCTTACGCGAATGGGCCGTCTGCTTTCTCCACTCTTTCTCCGATGAGCCATGCATACACCGAGCCCGTCCCCGCCTACCGAGACGTGAAGCGTACCATCCGACCGCTCCCTCCTATACCCATACCCATACCCGCGAGTCCCCCGCCGCCCACGTTCGATGCGTCGTGGGATGACCCGGAACAAGAGCCGGAGCCGGAAGAGGAGCTGGAGGACTATCCTTATCTCCAAACCTCAGTGGAGAACGACAACGAGAGTGACTCCCTCCCTGTGCGTCTCCTTGTCATTTCAATGAAAACCACCCACTCAATTGACTTGCTAGACACACTCGACGAGTTCGACATCATCATCTCTCGCATTTAGCGGGCAGCCTAAACGAAGGGAACACCGTCAGGTGCGGTGGGCGCCTGACCCCGAGCCTGTCGAGCCGCCGGAGAAGAAGCGGTTTATCAGGCTCCCGTCGCGGATGAAGAGCAAGAAAGGCGATCGAAGGGTGCCTGAGCAGCCTTCGAGTCCTCCGGATGAGCATGCACAACAGTCGCTGTGGATCGAGGAGGAGGAGGAGGAGCAATCGCGCGATATGCGGATGCCTTCACAAGGCGGAGAACGCGAGTCGCAGTGGGAGCGTGCGCGGGAACGTGCGAGGGCGAGAGAAGCAGACGTGTTCCGAATGCGCGTCATGGACTTTTTCGGCTTCAAGTGAGGATGAAGGCGGAGGTGTGTGTGTGCTATTTCATTTCCTGCGGATATGAACGATCCTTTATGGTAAATTTAATTAGTGCGACCGAAATGTCCAACGTCCTTTCACTCAATGTGGACCATCGTTTACCGGCAGGCAGTGGTCGTTCGATTCGCGGTCTGCCTATTGCGTAGTGCGATCATCGTTTTATTCCGAAATTCATCCGCGAGAGAGGTGAACATGCCCCAGAGCTTTACCGCAACTCCCTCTCCTCTTTCTTGGCGTTTATGAAATAATGTTGGGATCGGCCGACGTGCGAACGCCGCATACTTGCTCATGGATGTTTGCGCGCCCGACGGAGAGGTGCGAATTTCCTGGCTCCACTACATACCCTCGGGACCACAGACTCACAGACGTATCATTCATTGCGATTGCGTCTAGATCTCTGTGGCTGGGTTTCTCAGTGGGATCCCGTGTCCGTGCCCTTGCTTCGCCCGTTGAATACACCCGTTCGACTCGGGTCGACGCTGTACGACTGCGTCTTGTTATTGGTTTTTCTCTCTCGTACGGTTTGTTTGGTTAGAGGGAGGTGGTTCTTGATGAGGCGTATGCATGAAAATGCAACGGACGTGCCATGTCCATTAGAACATCTTGTGGAGTTGAAGTTTCAGCGTTAGGAGGAGTTGCCACACAACTACATGGAGGCTGAGGACTGTCTAGACATCGTGTCAATATCCTGTATGACATTTCATGTTGAGGAACAGAGGATTTCGTTTCTCGCTTCAAAAAACAAAACGACAGTGACAGGACTCGAACCTGCAACCTCTCGGTACACAAACGGCAATCGAAGCCGAGCGCGCGGCCATTGCGCCACACTATCGCTTCTTGCGAGTCATTTCATGATGATATCCTCTGATTCAATTATATTACACATATTCAGTTACAGGAGGTTGTATGTGTACAAGCGCTCAGAGATCCATGTCGACTGCATTCTCCCGATGATGCTGCGGCTCTCCCACGGGACGCTGGTTCCGTGCAGAACTTTGCATCAAATTTCCGGGGCCATCGTACGCAGGGATGCCACCTAAAACGAATCATTCATCGGCTGAGTGAAAAACTGGAATGCGCTCACGAGGATCATGCTGAGAATTGTCGTACGTCGCGCCACCTAAGTATCCGTTCGTCATCTTGCATTCAAGATATCCAAGAAAAGGACTCACCCCTCAAGTTATCGAGCCCCTCCGCAGTCTGTTGTCTTCCTTTCGCAGCTATGACGTCATTCTCTGAAAGTGTCGTTGCATCTTTGTGCACGACGGTATCGACACCGCCGAGGATCGTCCCGCGGATGTTTTCTCCAGTTCCTGGCGACGTTCGATGGGTTGAAATGAATTTCGTGCGAGCAGCTTACCATGGATTACCTGTGCGGCGCCTCTGCGTTTCGTGAGTGAATGTTGCCTTGCCTAGAATGCACCTACTTGATTTTGGAGGCAATTCCACCAGAGCGGGATGAAGTGGATGTGGAAGTCGGGGTGGTTGTTGGATTCATAATGTTTGAGTATGAGGGCATTGACGATACTGAATGGCGCTTATGTACTAGTAGGAGTCCGGCTCCACCGATGATGTCATCATCCTCTCATCGGAGTGTGTCCGGACTCCGAAAATGTCCTCCCCTCTGCCACACAGGAATCCGACTGGCGAAGTGATGTGTATAACCTGTCGGGAATTCCGGCTGAATTTGGGCACTTCGATTCAACATCCATCGCGACTCGGAACGCATCACTGACATCAGAAAAGCATCAAAGCCGATTGGGTGGGTGGCTGTACAGGAGGACCACGTCACGAGTCGCCAGTCTCAGTCTGACTCCCAGCGGTGAAAGATGCCTCCAGTTTCTTCGTCTCTGTTGTATTGTCTACTCAGCTCAAGGCCCGCCAGTTGCGAAACCAACTTTGTGCTGACTTGCGCGTTTTCGCCTGGATTCTGGTTCCAAGAGTCAAGAGTCGCTCGCCCATTGCCCGACTAACTGGCACTGAGGCCGCCAAAGGCCCCAAGTCCATAGAAGCTATCGAGAAAATCTGGCCCGGCTTCATGTGCTTCGTACCCTGGACGTTATAACCAGCTTGAGAGCGCCACTTCGCGCCGGGGCTCCGACTATCCTCGGATTGTACACGCAGATCGATTCACTCTTGATGGCACGCTTCCTCGCTACCCTAGAAAGTCTCTCTCGGCCATTCAAACACCTGGTTCGATACCGTCAAACTTCCCACCTGGGCATGTCGACGCCTCGGGTCAGTATGAAACTCCCCGAGCTATCTGTGGCCTCTCGGCCGGCAACTACTAGACTGAGCGTCCGAAAACATCCTGAATACGGCCAGTCCCGAATACGGCCAGGGAAGACGATCAACCTTCCATCACATCGGTTTGTGTCGCATGAAACAAGCGAGACTGCGCCTGCCTGCGCCACTTGGTTAAAGCGTTCTATACAGGCGACTTCTCCGTTCAATTCGGGAACTCTAGTCTTCATCCATGAACTCAGTCGCCCTTTCTCTTGTGTCGTAGGTAGGCACGCCAAGGAGGGTTCAAATCAAGCAAATCGTCTTGATACAGCACGCGGACACAAATCAAATCAAGCTGAAGCCCAAGAAAATAGATTATAAGCATTTTTATCCACGCAACTGTCGAACCCGAAATTCGCGACCCATTATTTAATCCACAGTCGAGAGAGTTCGAATTTAATCGCAGAAGGTGATCGCCAAGTTGACGTCGTTGGTCTCGCATTGAACCTGGACGAAGGTGTCGGTGGGGACGTGGAAGGCGGTGTTGCAGTTGGGGCCCGTGCCTAAAGGCCAAGTAAGTCATCCAAGACTCGGAATCTGGAACCGATGCGACTTACAGTCAGCTCCAGCACCGTTGCAGCCGTTGTAGTATCCGAAACCAGTGGTCACGGAGAAGGCGTGACTATGGAGGTGGTTAGAATTGGAATTCCATCATCTACAGGGATAGAGACGAACGGAGCGATGAGGGAGAGATCAGTGCTCGAGCCGGCACCGGGGCTGGGAGGGTTCTGTCGAGTTCGTCAACGTCACCCCGATGTGAACGCCCATGAGAAGGAGTACTTACGCGGAGGGTGGTCTCGAGGAGCGTGCAGCCCTCGCCGTTGAAGCCGCAGGAGCCTGGAAGATGATTTAGACACTCGTCGACTCATGGATAGGATGGGCGCACCGGTCTGGAGGTAAGCAATGGCACCAATGAGGGGGCCGTTGATCGTGTAGGCGCCTCCAGTGGAGAGAACGGCGCCTCCTTGGCCGATGAGAGTGGGCTACACAGGCATGCAAATCAGGACTCTGAACAACCACCCAAGAGAGCAAATGAGACTAACAGTACCGCGACCACAGTTGTTGGTGAAGCTGACGGTGTGCGTCTCGCCGTGGACGGCGGTGACGGCGACAGCGAGGAGAGCAAAGGCAGCGGTGAAGCCGAACATTGTGGATTAGAGAAGTTTAAAGGAGAAGGGAGGTAGAAAGGTTGAGTCCGGGGAGGATGATTTTCCTGGTCAAATTGGCAGGTCTTTATACGCAGTTGGAGTGCTGGACTGTCAAGCTCAAGTCGATAGTCGGGCCCCAGAATAGAACAACAACAACTCATCATTGTGGGAACTCAACCAAAGATTCGTAATCAGTTTTGAACAGTTTCAGTTTCATCTTTCTTTCGTACGGATATTTCAACACGTGGGATCATATCGCTTCATGTCTCGCATACCTTCCCCACGGGCACATCGCTAGCCAGCTAACGTCTAACGAAGCTCCGGCGAGCGGGATTCAACCCCAGAAATACTCAACCAACTTCTCGGAGTGGGTACCTGATGCCGTACAACGGATCTGTGCTGGACTTCCCTCGAATCCCTCCCTGTCCCTCCGTAGACCCGCAGCCGAGAGAAGATCACACAGTCGATCACGATCAATCACATGAGGATCGACGGCCGGATTTGAACGGGTGACTATCACTCTCGGTTATCTCCTACGGCGCGCCATGTGGGTCCGTAATTTCCGACTGCGCATAACGGGTGACTATCACTCTCGGTTATCTCCTACGGCGCGCCATGTGGGTCCGTAATTTCCGACTGCGCATTCTCTCAGATACGTCAAGAACTCGTCGAATTTCACATTGTACGCCAGGCTAATTTGAATGGAAAGTCGCCAACTGTCGGGAGAGCCGCCGCTCGAGATACGGGATGTCAAATTGTCAGAGCATTTATTCGTGAAGTGGCATGGCAATAAGAATACTACTGAATAGTCTGGCCGGCACTGGGCTGGCCCGGCTGGGGACGGGAATCCATCGCCTCCGTGGTTCAACTGACCTCTCGAAACGACGGCGCATCATACGGACAGTCGACCAATTGTATTGATCTCCGAAATCGAACGGCGGGATAATGCACACGGGTTGGCTCCGAAGTGGCATTCTCTTTCGGGTACCCATGTCGTATCTTGTACGCAAGAGTCCTGATTCCTGACCACCCGGGCCCCAGCGACCTAAATCAATGCAAGCACCTGGAACTCAGCAGGGGTTTGTTCTGTACGTTTCAAGTGCCGGATCGCACGCGTGGGTCTTGTCAAGCGCAAACTTACGCAGCGATCCTGCAACTGAATTGCGAGACTCGAGTCGATGCAGTGCGGGCGCACACCATGACAGAAAGTACATGTACGAGGAACTTGGCAGCAACTCCGCCGTCACGGTGAAACTGGCGGTTAGCAAGAGAATGGTGAGTTGTTGGCCGTGGTTGCCAGCAATGTTTCTGCCTCGATTCAGGGGCGCAAGAATGACATCATGGAAATGGCATGAAGTTGATCGGCGAACACGGCGTGTCGGCATTGGGTCTTTGGAATCCATCCTGAACTTATACTTGGGCCGCATTCCAACTTCCCACAAGTACAGACTCCCTTCTCCTGCTGCAGCTCATAGACATGGCCTACATCATTGCGCGATTTACGTGGGGTGTCCTGGTCATGCGGAGGCGGCTTTGGCAGATGCGAGTCGGTTCAGAGCGGTAGCGGTGATACGCGGATCTCAGGGAAACCCGCCTTCAGCAAGCAACCATCCACATTGATCCCTGCATTACGTTGTGGCAAGTCGATCCATGACCTTCCATGGCGGGGTAGTGATCGAAGCTGTCGAGGCGCATCCTCGTGCTTCCTCCCATTTCATCTCTCCTCATCATCTGCGCAAAGTTGCCGATCACTTGTTTCACTCGCATGATTTAAAAAGGTTGCAAGTACAACCGAACCGACATCCGGAGCCCCCTCCAGAGTTCTACTTCTCTCTCCTTCCTTGCTCACTTTTTCTTTCGCCATGTTCGCCGCCGTCCTTGTCGCTTCCCTTCTTGCCGTGGTTAACGCCCACACCATCACCCTCCACAACAACTGCCCTTGGGGTGTCGGGATGACCCTCAGCAACTTCCCCCATGCTGGAGTCGATTACACCGGTCCAGCTATCCCGGATATTCCGGCGGGCGGCAGCTACAACCTCGTCGTCCCCACCCGGTGGAACGGTTCGTTCTCTTCGCGCTCAAATGCCTTCGTTTTGATTGAAACCTCCCTTCCAGGACGTATCTGCGACCGCCCCCCGAACTCTGGCTGCCAGAACGACTGCTTCGGCGGCAGTACGTCTTGGCTTCATCCATCCATTGAAACTGCAGCTGATACAATGACTTGTAGTCGCTTTTGGCGAAGCCGCCTGCTCGATGACCGAGTGGAACTTTGACTCGTCCAACATCAATGGCAACACGTACGTCTCCTTTTCCTCCCTTCTACACGTGCAACCGTGGTGACCAATATCCACAGTGACTACGACATCAGCAACATCCAAGGCTACTCGGTTGTACGTGA